AGTGAGTGCTGCAGCCGGGGAGGGGCTGGGGGCTCCGGGATGGGCTGGGGGCTCCGATTGGGGCTGGGGTCCAGGATGAGGTGCTGGAGGTGTGGGAGGCCTAAGAAGCTGTTTCAGCCTTGCGTCCGTGTGTGGAGCTCGGAGGAAGCTCCGTGCCTCAGTCTCCCCACGCCAGTAGGCTCCTGAGGGTGCAGGGATGAAAGTGCTTTGGTTTTGCTCCAATCTTTTCCCATATAGATAGTTAAAAATCTGCTTATGGATTATTGGCAGTTCATTGGGGAAAAAGTCTCAGCCCTCCACTGGAAATGTCCTTCAGTGAGAGTTGTGTGTATCTAATTCATATGGCTTACAGTTTTTGTCAGAGTATTTAGTTAGGGCTGGTTAGCCCTATCCCCAGCAATTCTAGAAAAAAATCCCTTCCTTCAGTTTGGACTTGAGCACACTCTAACAGATGTTTTGTTCAAGTGTTCTCCTTGTCAAACTTCTGGACAAACTTAAAATTGTTGAGGAAAGAGAGAATCTACTTCGTATTTCTCAATTGTAATTCTGCTAAGATAAGTTTGCTCTGACAGGCGGGACACATGGGATGGGCCAAGAGACAGGGTTCCCCTAAAGGGTAACAACAACATGGGAGCTCTGCCTGTGCCTTCTGCACCCATGGAAGGGCACCAGCAGCCCCTTTTGCCACCCCACATCAGTCTCAACTACAAGAGGCAGCAAACCTGCCCATGCTGGCTGTCCCCACGGTTTTGGGAAGCAGCCAGGTCACCTCTCCCCAGGGCTTGGCTGGTCCTGGCCCAGGACAGAGCCACTGAGGAGCCAGCTGTATCATCAGGGCTGTGCCCAGCCAGAGCTCCCAGAGTGTTTGTTCATCAGGGGAAGCAATTCCCAGCCAGACCTGCACCTGCAGAGCTCACCCCTCCCAGGACTGAACCTGACCCCGCTGCCAGGGGACACCAGGCACTGCTTTCCCCTCCTAGTGCAAGGACAGGAGGGTGGTGAGGGCTCCAGGAGTGCCAGTTTGCTCCCACTTTGTAACTGGGGCTGTGCACGTGACCCCAAACCTTTCATTTCTGATATAAATTGTTCTGTCTCCTTTCTCCAGGGTGAAAGCAGAAAGGACAGGAACTTTGTCCCCTCTGAACACCCTAAGTGCAGGCAGCAGTGTTACCAGCCCCCAGCTGCATCCCTGGCAGTGTGGAACTGAGCACTCTCATGGCTGCTGCAGACCCTGTCCTGCCCCCCGAGGAGGTGGCTCTGCTGGAGCTGGGCAAGGTGGCCCTGGACAAGGTGCCACCAGCCCCAGATGAGCACCTGGGGGACCCTGATGCCACCCTGCCATGGGACCAGAGTCAGCACAATGCCCGGGGCCAGCTGGAGCTTGTGGAGACAAAGAAGCGCTCGAGTCCTGAGGGAGGCCATGAAGACCCAGAGGAAGCTGTTCCCACCTGCCCCACAGCTGAGGCCGAAGATGAGGAAGTTCCCCAGCTGCCCGTGATGGCATCCCACGTCTTTGTGCCCATTGACCCGCAGTGCATCGAGCAGAGCCCCTTCAAGCAGAAGCAGCACCCAACCCCATGGCCCCGGGAGGAGGGCAGGGGAGATGTTCCCCCCAGTGCCCCCTCCAGTGACAGAGCCAGCAGCCTTCACCACAAGCAGGTCTTCCTCCCCCTTGGCCCCTCGCGCTACAGGAACCCACCAGGCTTTGAGGGGCGCATGGCCAAGCCCCTGGCTGAGGGCTCGCAGTGCCCGTGTGCCAGGGACTGTGGCACTGATAACCTCAAGGCCGTGGCATCGGTGGCAGGGGCCCTGCTCCTCTGCCCTTGCCTCATCTATGGAGCCTACATCTTCCTGCCCTTCGATGCCCCGCTGCTGCCCACCGTCAGTGCCCGCCTGGTCTACACACTGCGCTGTGCCACCTTTGCCACCTTCCCCATCGTGCTGGGTGAGCCATGGGCTGGGTTGTGAGCACTTTGCTCCTGGTCTAGGCTTCATGAGCCCTGGAGCTGAGCTCTTTGTGGATCTGATACTCCCACCAGGAGCAGCAGATGGAGCTTTTCTCCTGTCCTGGTGCTCCCCGAAGTCCACCATGGCTCCTCTGGGCACTCACTGAGCCCCTGTGAGACAGAGTAGAAATTCTCCAGAGTAGAAATCTATTTTGATTTAGGTGAAATGTACATCTTTGAGTCTGTGGTTAGAAAATGTAGCTATGTATCTTGACTGTAAAGCCTAGGCTCAGGGAAACTGATTCAGTGAAGGACAGAAATAAAGGGGAGGAGACAGAGGGTGATAGGCAGAGAGACTGCTGTGAGAGCAGGTCAACCTGACCTAGGAATTCTTTCTGATAAAGAAAAACTAGCAGCAAATGTCACGTGAAATTCGTAAAAATGAATATGTATGAACCTATTGTGAAATTGTATACAGATGTATTTGAGAGGGGGATAAAAAGGGACCTGAAGTTCCCAGAGGTACGCATGCATTTAAAGGAGAACAATCTCCACATACGTCTGGTGCTGTAATAAACATACCGGCTTCACAACTTCCACAAAGTTGTGGAGTTTTTGGCTGTCTCCACAAAACACCTCTCTCTGTCCCTCAGGAATGATCGTCAGCGGCATCTCCCGCCTCTGCTCCTCTGCCCTGGAGCCCTTTGGAGAGCTCCAGCGGGAGGTGGAGATCCACCGCACTTACGTCTCCCAGTCCGTGCACCTCTTCATCCTCTACTTCTTCAACATGGCCGTGCTGGCCACCTACCTCCCACAGGAGCTCCTCAAGCTCATCCCACTGCTCACAGGGCTCTTCGCCATCTCCAGGTAAGTGGCTCCTTCACCCCAGGCTCTGTCAGTGCCAGCACCATCCCTTGGAGCAAACTCCCACTCTGGCAGCGCCTCACCCAGCTCACCAGAGCCAGGAAGGGTTCCTCTTCCTCCAGCAGGGAAATCCTCAGATTTCTGGTCAGAAACTGAGTGCCAGCCCCACAGCATCACCCCAATTCCTCACTGGTCAGAACCACTGAGTGCCAGCCCCAAATCCTCACTGGTCAGAACCACTGAGTGCCAGCCCCAAATCCTCACTGGTCAGAACCACTGAGTGCCAGCCCCAAATCCTCACTGGTCAGAACCACTGAGTGCCAGCCCCAAATCCTCACTGGTCAGAACCACTGAGTGCCAGCCCCACAGCATCACCCTGGCTCTCAGCCTGCACTCTCTGCCTTCTCCAGGTTGATTTTCTGGATGTCCTACGCCATCGGCCGCTCCTTCCGTGCCTTTGGCTTCAGCATGACCTTCCTGCCCCTCCTGGCCATGCTGCTCTGGAACCTGTATAGCATGTTTGTGCTGGAGCCTGAGAACCTCCTCTCCCTGGCACAGCCAACGCCCGAGAGCCGCTCCAAGGAGAGCAGAGCTAAACTCCGCCACTGGGGCTGAGGGAGGCCATGAGATGGAGTGCCTGCATCCTATGGGTTTGAGCTTCCTTCATGCCCTGCCCCAAGAGTCCTGACAGCTGACAGATCCTGCTGGGCTCCTTCTCCCTGCCTGGACATAGGGAGGTTTTGCTGGGCACACAGAACCAGCTGCAGACCCTCTGCACCAGGAGACTCCTGCTGGAAGGTGAACAAGAGCAGGACACACTGAGCCCTGTTCCCTGGGAATGGGTGGGATTTGCTTCCCCTCCTGCTGGAGCCAGCTTTGCCCAATAAAGCCCTTACCAAGCAGCTCTGTGCCTGGTTTGCAGAGGGTGAGTTAAATTTCACATAGAATGACTCAGAGCTTCGCCTACAGCATGCAATCATCCAGCCTCAAAATTATGTTTCCAAGAGGGAAAAAAATGTTTCCCCCAGAATGTCCCTCTCCCAACCCTGCATCCCACTCCAGGGTCCCTGCATAGCCAGTCTCACCCTGTTTGTCCCTCCTCTTCCTCCTGGTGGAGGGTCAGCACCCAGTTCTCAAAGCAGTGGGTTGGATGGGAGGGAGGAAGCTGGGTTGGGTGACATGGCACCAGCTTTGCCACTGGCCAGGGCCAGGGATGGCCAGTCCTCCCCAGGATGGGTGCTGAGCCCCTCCTTCTGCAGACATGAATGGACCCCTGGGAGTGGCATTTCTGACAGCCTCAGTTGTCAGTCCTAACCCAAAGCAGTTAAAAATCCACCCAATCCAGGAAAAGCCACTCCAGCTTCAGATCTGTCCGATGTCTGGCTTGTCCCACCTCCCATCCTGCAATGCTGGATCACAGGAACAGCTCACCCCAACCAGAGAATGGAATCAAGGACCTGAGGGACTGCAGTGAAGCTGTGTCTTGCTTTGAAAGCCAGGTGTCCGTCCAGGAAGCCAGAAACCTCCTCTGCAATGGAAAATGTGACCCCCTTCCCTCCAAATTATTTTAACTCTGAAATCAAAGGGCTTTCAGGCAAAGATATGGGGAAAGTGATATACATACACTTCTTTACTAATATGTATATATGTAACTAGGCAAACAACAATGTGAAAACCACGTTCACTCTCCTGTGAAAATTTAAAAAGTTTAATAAAGGGCAATAGGAGACAAGGACTATGGAGCAAAGGATGTTAGGGTGCATTTTGGCGCTCAGCCAAGACCACTCTGTTATCTTACACCTTAAATACCTTATCCCTTACATCAGCCTGTTGCATATTCATAGATCCTGATGCAGAGTAAACTTTTTCCCCAAGCTAGTTTAATGTTCCAAGAACTGTTCAGCATATCTCCTCCTTGGATCTGCCATTTTAGAGTATGCTTATTCCTGGGTTGTGGTTTTAATCCTTTTTTATCATCGTCTTCAGTTTTGGGTCTTGGTCCACACTGTCTTCAGACAGTGGGTGCTGATAGTTGGCAGATCTGTACAGGTGTCCCCATCCTGTGTTCATCGGATGTTATCCCATCCAAGCAGGCATTTTAACACAAGCATCCTTATATCAGCTATTTCACTACTATGTCTAAGCTTAATTAACAACAGAAATAAAAACTACATCTTTATTACAAAGTTATTTCAACACCACACATATAAAATCTGTGTTAATGTTTGCAAAAAGCCAATATTATAATATGTATCTATAACAAACAACAACGGCAGCACCACCAAAAAAAACTAGAAAACCCCATAAAGTCTCTTTGTTAAAAAACAGGACCACACTTCTGTTCTAAGTGATTTCAGCATTTCTTATAAAAAAGAAAAGGCCTAAAGCAAGGGGCTTGTGGCCGGAGCAGGAGCATTCCCATCGAAGATGCTGCAGCACTGGCGCTGGTTCTTCTTGAACAGCGATGTCCCTGATGTTCCAGGTGGAGCAGCACAGCTTCCCTGGGTCAGATGCCCCGTTTTTATCCTGTTTTTAGTCTCTTTGGACTGGTTTTTGTTGAGATCCTTCATTTGCATGAAGGTTTAAGGCGCTTGATTTGCCATCACAGTTCTGTCCAGGCTGGTCCTTTCCCTTAGAGTGTGGTGCACTTTACTTAGGTGTAATACAGTAAGATGCGTACTGCATTTCTTATAACTACCCTTTTAACCTCTTTTACAATATAATAACCAAACTAACAGTACATGCTTTACAATTATTAACTATTTTCTGTGAGATGCAAAGCTGTGTTTCGTGTCAGGTAAAAACAGGTGATGTGTGTACTTGTGAATGCGAAATGTGTGGACATTGACAATGGGATAGTTGCAAATTCTAATAATAACTGAGAAGAATAAAGCATGGAAAAAGGCCTTTGAACCTATCTTTTGTTTGCAATTACCCTGGTTGATTTAGGAGCATTGGAATTAAGGTGTTAAAGATGTTGCTTTTTGCTTGCATTTAATCCATAAAGAGTTCTGCAATAATAACCTTTTGAAGTATAATTTTAGAATATTACTTGTATCCTGGAAACTATAGCTTTGGAATATATATAAAGGAAATATGCTTATCTCACACCTTAATAAAGCAGAGAAAAACAGTTTGAGAAAGGAAAATGAACATCACCTCAAGGTTTTATGGTTTTGACCAAGGGAAGCTGGACATCACTGTTATGAGATTTATAGTCTCTGCAATTAAAAGGTGGACACACATCTGGGGAGCTGGACCCCACCAGATGGGATTCGTCTTTCTTCTTTCGGAAACTGGACCGTCACCATCTGGGGATACTCCTTTGAGATACATCCTGAGAAATGAAAATCACAATAGTGTATAGAATTGTGATGTAATAATTTGGAATAAAAATTGCTGATGAGTAAAAGATTGGAAGTAGAAACTGCTGAAAAAGCTGATGAGTACCCCTATAAATACCTGTAACCCTCAACTATCGGTGTGCAGTTGGAGGGAAAACTTCCCCCACTGTACCCAGCACTGTATTGCACATTCTTTACCATATTAATGAATAAATTGATTGCTGCTTGAATATTGGCCTAGTCAAGCTTCTTATTCACAACATTTCTAACACTTTCTAACCTATTTTTGACATCTTTTTCCCTCGAAGCCGGTTTCCCCGCGCTGCAGTTCCGGGCACGGCCGGCAGGGGCGCGGGAGGCTCCCGGCGGGCGGGGCGGGTGCGATGATTCCCCCGCGGCTGCAGGGGGCGCTGTGGGGCGGCTCGGCCGGGGCGGGAGCTCACGGGGGACCGCGTGAGGGGACCCAAGCCTAACCTGCCCTCCCCACCAAAGAAAGAATTAAACCGGGAAACAAAGAAAGAATTAAACCCAGTTTTAATGCATAAAAACCGGAGCAGACCGGGATTCCAGCACACAGCAACACGCTGCGGGCAGAGGGTCCCGCCCAAACCGGTGGTTCAGCGCCACAGGCGCTGGTTGTGAGCTCCCAGCGGTCAGGCCTGTGAGGACAATTAAGACACAAACACCAGAGGTTTATGTCCAAAAAGGAGACAGAGGACTCCTGTAACTTTATTCGAATGAAGGGAAAAGTTATCTGCATTTTCCATGGAGTCTCTCAAATTTTTGGAGGACGCAGCCTCCTTTTTATCCTAATTTCCCGGCCACATTTCTTTCTCTCTTTCCCCACTGCCTGAGGTACTTGTGAGGTACGGACTTCCCATTATGCCTGATACCTAAAACCCCCTTTTAATTTAACCCCCTTCCCCCCACCTCTTTGTCTTTTCCGTGTATCAATCAGTGGAATTCCTATGGAATTTATAGTTATTCCCATTGTTTCTTTCATCTCTCAGTATCCAGATTTATTTATCAGCAGACCTACAGTTTGTTTGTAAAGACAAATCCCTCTCATTCCATTCACAAATCAGCAGAATCCTTCCCACAGTTTCTTTTTCCTCTCAGTGCTGGTTTTATCTACCAGCAGATCCACAGTTTGTTTGTAAGGAAAAATGCCTCGTTCCTTCCAGACTCCAGGGAAACAGGCAAACCGCTCCCTACAAACCCAGTGTGGAAAATGCATGTATTTTATGATTGGCTATTGGCTTTTTGCAAATATTAAAATGAATATTATATGTGTTATGTTAGAAAGTTATGCTGTATTAATTTTCTTAAGTAGTGTGCTAAATATAGTTTTAGGTTATAACATAATGTTAAAATAGAAA